ACGTAAGCTCGATCGGGGACTCCTCCCTCACAAAGAGTAGTAAGGCCGCTGGTTTCTTTCCCCCTATTATCATCATCATCTGAGGTCGTCTTATCGCCGACTGTGCAAGTAAAAACCCAAATTAAGTGTAAATTTTGAGTCTTAGTTTATGGGTTTTTTTTATTGATGTAGTTAATTGGATGTGAATTAGAATTTAGATTATAATTTACATTTGGATTAGAATTTAGGGAAAATTGTGTTATCTAGTTCTCTTACTGTGTATAGATTGTTGGAGATGATTCAAACTTTGTGTTCCTTACACTTATTTATATCGTTCTCCATATTGGTGACCGTATATAAATATATATATTATTTTCTGATTTCATACTTTTTATATTTGATTTTTAATATATTAATTTGTTAACATGAGTATTTTACAACTGTTGCTCATGAGTTGGAAATCTTCATTTTCAACTTATAATGGAGCACATTTTAATCTTGAGATGCTGCTTTAACCCACCAAGCCACTCTACTTTTAAATAGATCACAAAGCACATTCATATCAGGTTGCGTACCCCAAAACACAATCTCATTTCTACCCTTCCAAATGGACCATAAAATAACCAGAGGTGTGGCCTTCCAAATTTGTTGTTCTAATCTTTTAAAGCTAAAACCAGCCCACCACTGCAACACTCACGTTTATTAAGTTACAAGGTTTAGTAATGCATTATGATTAATGCTATGAATTGGATCTCCTTATTTCTAAGGCGATGATCAAAAAATAGATGTCAACTATACTGAAAATCATGCCACGATTTTTCAATAATACATTTCCTTACAAATTGCCCTTTCAAATGAAGTGCTACTATACACATCTCCAATTTGAATATAGTATTTTTCTACTCTCAATATGCCATTACGTATTTATAGTTTGACTAACTAAAATAGTTTCAACGTGTTTGAGGCTTTGTCAGAAGCTCTAACTGCTTAAACATCCTTGAGATTTGGTCATTGGAAAATATTTATTGTGTTTGGTTTTAGTTTTTTAAATTCAGTTTTTTGAAAACTGAATATTTTGTTTTTCATGTTTTTTTTGCTGCATATTTTAAAAATTTTAAGTAAAATATTTTTTTACTTTTTTAGATCTATCTTACTTAAATGTATCTAAAAAGTAAAATATTGTAAAAAAAATATTTTTTAAAATTAATAAATACATAAAATATGAAAAATATACTGAATTTTAGTTTTTTTTTTTTTTTTTTGTATTTTTGGTATATAGGGATTTTTTTAAAAAAATTTTTACGAAAAGTTCTAGCTGCAGGAAGTTTTAGTCGTACTATATGGGTTATTTGCCGGCAAATAACCAATTTAGTCGCTAAATTGCTCTAAAACTTTGCCGGGGGGAATTACTTTTAGGCTAAGTTTGGCATGTCCAGGAAAAGTTAAAAAGTTAAAAAGTTACTTAAAAAGTTAAAAAGTTAACACTATTCATCAAAAGTCAACAATTACGGCTGCACAACTCCTAATCCTAATTTTCTCCTACAAACCAATTTTTACAATTTTTTATTACACATTTTTTCATAAAAAGTCAAAAAGTTAACCCAAATATCTATATTGTCTTCCTCAATTTTTTACTCAAAAAAAACAAAAAGTACACTTATTTAATACATCCCAAACAACCCCTTAATATTCGCGCCCTCTTCCATTCTCGTTTTAAACAAACACAAAAGTCCTCTCTCTCACACATCACCACCAAACCTCACCCCACCTCATCTCAGCACAGTCCCTCACCATCGTCGCTCACCGTACGTCGCACATCGCCACCGCCACCGCCGTAGCCGCAAATCACCACCGCCAACGCCGCAGGTCACAGGTTCTCTCTCCCTCTCTGTCTCGGTCGCGTTCTCTGTCTCACTCGCTCTCTCTCTCTCTCTCTCTGTTTCTCTCTCTCTCCCTTCCTCTATTTCCCCAACTATCAACACTTGCTATAGGGTTTTATATGATTTATACTAAATAATTTCGTGTTGATTTCTTAAACTGGTTTGATTTCTAGAGCTTTATGGGTTTGATCTCGTAAATGGGTTTGATTTCACTGGTAAAATTTACTTTCGCCCTCTTTTTCCTTTCTCTCTCATTAGTTTCAAAGCCTTAATCCATTGATTGTGTATGTATTTGCATGTATGGCTGCTCATTGATTGTGTATGTATTCTCATGTGTTCTGAATGTTTGATTTGAAATGTGATTCTATGATTGCAATAGTAAATAATTTATTGGCTTCCCTTTGATAATTATTTCTCAGATTTTGGGCAATACTCCTCATTTTGCTAGTTTTTAGGAGGCTTCTCGGTCTCACTCAATGGTTTTGCTACATTTGTTTTCTTAGATCTTCTGTAGCCTTGGATTTGGCATTAGAGTAATAGTGTAATTCTCTGAGATATAAATCTGGTTTTGCCCAAGCTAATATCTTTATTTATTGACCTACTTAAGATCTATATGTTAAACATATCAGGAAGTCTAACTTATTATGTCCTCTTATTCACTCTCCTTTTACAGAACCCTAGAAAATAATTTTGCATGTCCAGGGAGGTTTTACTTTTTAATTTAAAATTTCAAAATGGCAACAAAATTTTAATTTATGACTTTTGAAAATTATTCACTATCAATTGTTTCTCATGATTTGTGTGAAGTAATTTTATATGCACAAAAAGAAGAATATTGAAGTAAGATTATTGGTTAGTCTTAGGGAGTGGCAATGCCACTATAGTTGTTGCTGCCTAATGGCCATGTCTGCAACTATAACATTATTTTCTACTAATATGGAAGAGATAAGCATTGCATGACATAGTCCATTTGTTTTGTTATGGCATAGAAGATGGGAAAAAACTAAAACAGAACAAACACATAAGTATACACGGATTTACATGGTTTGACAATAATCATACATCCATGGGGAAAGAATGACGAAACAATTTCACTATGAATATAGAGATTACAAAAAGCTGGCTCTCTCTCTCTTTCTCTCTTAAACCTTAGTTGACAAGATCATAATTCATCCTAAAAATCCAAATTAACCCAATATATACTAGAATTTGAATGTAGCAAACTGGGTCAAAATAGACCCAAAAATACAAATTCCGGGTCAGACCTTTCATATTAATCAGGTCGAGCGTGCCACAAATGGATAGTAAACATCATCTGGATTGAATTCAAGATGCACCCACAGCATGTCTTTTATGAAATATGATATACGAACAGAACTTTTGTAGAGAATGATGTGATTTCTTCTACTCTCTTCATTTTCAATCAAAACATTCATCATTGGCCCCATAATTTCAAAAATGTCATTTACATATCATTTTGGATGTGATTAATGCTATAAATTTTATGTTTGCAAATTATTTTCTGTAATTTATATATTATTTTTCTGCTAATCAAGCAGAAGTTACATTGGCATGCAATGTTAATTTTCAAGGACATGAATTTGATAGCCAATATCTTAATTCCTTGGTGCACTGTGAGATAATATGCAAACCAGGCACCGGTGCATATAATGCAGAGGTTTCACAAATCTAGGTTGTTCTGCAACCAGAAATTGTTTAGGTTCCAAATTTATCATCTATTTAGTGAACATATGACACCACTAATACGTAACTTTAACAAGTATCTAAAACATATATGGGTTGACAAGGAGACAATTACCTCTAGCTTTTTGAAGGAAATAGATAAATTTAACACAATTGAAGCACGTGCCAAAATCATTCAAAAAATTGACAAGAATATCCAATATTCAATGAGCAAGTGTGAATTTTGAAGCGAAGTCAACTTCCAAAAATGAAGGCACCTTAGAGGTTTTAAAATTTTTTTAACAAGTGGAAATACAGAAGCCATACGATGAATCGATATTTGAACAAGCACTTTGCATATTATAAGGAACATTATGCTTTATAGTATAGTTTATATTTAAAAAGATTAACCAGGGGGGATGAACCAATTCAAGATGACTGCTAGAATGATTTACTTTTTAAATTGATCAACATTAGTGATTAGTATAATATGTAAGTGTGATATTAGTATAAGAAAATGTTGGAGTGAGAAAAGAGTTCAACTTCTAGCAATCCAATCTTCATTACAGCAGCCTTTAAAACTTAATTGATTTCAAAGTGACAAAATCAATCATCTGAAAAATTGAATAAATAGAGAAAAGCCAGCTATCGAAATTGAACATCTCTTTCTTCTGTCGAAATAATAACGATATAATGTTATAAAATAATCTGGCAAGATGATAAATTATATTTGGATCAATGAAATATATGAATAGGAAGTTTACAGTCATAAATAAAGATATGGCAAGTAAATTAATTAGACTTTTGTCGTAAAGAAAATAAAATAACAAGGAAAGTAGACATAAAAACATGGAGAAGAATCTTCAAATTGAAAACTATATATTTATTCTAGGTGCACTAGACTCTCACCACTATGGAGTCTGATAAGAGTTAGATATTCGTAGTCTTACCCTAGCATGTAGAGATGTTTTTGTGGTTTGAACACCTAATGCCCAGGCATTCTAGATCTGCTCCAAGATTTCTTCAAGGCAAGCAATTTAATGTAGAGTATTTTATGAATATTCTATCAAGAGGTACCTAGGGTTTCCATGGACAATTTACTAAACAAAGATAGGAAACCAATTATCAGGATACATAAACATGGACCATTTATGCTATTGTTTTTCGTAGGTTCGAGCTAAACACAAGGAAGTTTGTCTTCAAAAAGATAGTCCCCTGGGAGAAACAATCCTTGTATGTTACAATTGTGGTTGTCGAAATGCTTTCCTTCTTGGATGCATCTCTGCCAAGACAGAGAGTGTTGTCGTTCTTTTGTGCAGAGAGCCTTGTCTCAGTGTCAATGCATTGAAGGATATGAATTGGGACCTGAGTCAGTGGTGTTCCCTTATATATACCTTTTTCCCAAAGTTGCTAAACTTGTACACTTTGTTAAAGCTAAAAGTACACTTTATGTTGTAGGCAGATAATGAGTTGCGTCTTGTACCTGGTGATGAGTTGCGGCTATGCTATTTAGGAGATGCAGCTCATGCGGCAGTCAGTAGGGCATGTGGTAAGCACTTTTTTTAATATAATTTGTTATTTCTTTTGCTTGTCATCTTTTGTTTTTGATTTTGTTTTAATTTCTCTTGGTTAATTTTTCCATTGAGAAGTTGTCATATAAAATGTTGTCCTCACCCCACCTCGCCTCACCATCTGCTGTCCAAACACCGCCTACTGGTGTTTCAGCCTCAGGTGCGAAGAACAAGGGGATGGATAATTACAAACAGGGGAAGTATGCTGATGCCATAAAGTGGCTTTCTTGGGCTGTGATTCTTCTTGAGAAGTCTTGTGATGGTGCTAACCCTTGTAAGTTTATTTGTGATTGGAAGTCAACTTGTCTGTAACCCTTTTGAGTGAAGTGTGGTTTTGAATGGTACGAAAGACAGACTTATGTCTCTGCTCTGCTCGTTAATGTTCTTCTTACCTTTGAGTGGAGAAGAACTAGAATGATATTTTTTTTCTTTGATGATATTATTATAATGGACGCTTGATGTTTTCAATTAAATAAACTTATTTATGTGCACATGTTTGTAAGTCTGACTATGTTATCCTTTGTTATATTTACCGCTTTGTCTTTCGAGCAATTAATCCAATGGCTATAATGCAAAATCATGATTTATAGACCATTCATGAAACATTCAGTAAAACCTCTTCAACACGGCTTATAATGTTATTAGAGGATTCACATAACCTACATCCAGTAGATGTGATTTGAAGTCATATTGAGTGGATTTTCATATGGGCTGTGCTTGTATGTTTGTTAGGTAGACTGCTAATGTAAATGCTGTCCCTATAACTCATGAACATGCATTCTGAAATTTATGGCAAAGAAGGGTTCATTGATTTGTGTAGAAAAGCTATGTAATTGGGGTTTAAGGCTTGTGTTGGATGCCCACTACATGCATTAGTTTCTGAAATAATTAATGGGTCAGGACATTTTTAAATCCTGCCCCTACTGTGTGCCTCTAGTCTTCGAATAAATTACTGAGTGATGATTTAAAAATGGTCTCTGATATTCAGTTTAATTAAGCAATCTTAATAAAATTTGAAGCTTAAACAGATTGACCAAAAACGTACATTGGATTTGCCCCCCTTTTCATTTTTGGTTCATGAATAATACTCATGATGTTGGCTATGCTTTCATGTGTTATATCTATTCATGTATCTCCTTTTGATGGCTATATTTAAAATTTGTTAATTGCTCTTTGGTAGCCTTCAATTGTACAATCATAATTTACCCAAATTCATACAATTTTTTATGCTAAAATTGTTTGTATGAAGTGTACTATTCTTTGGTCTAATTTTTCTCCACCATTGTGTTGTAAGATCAAATCAACTTGGCTGATGTCAAGTACCCATTGGAGCATTTTAAGGTAGGTTAAAACCTGTTCATTTATTTGATACACATAGAATTTTAAACAGAATGACATTTGGTTTCTTTTTGGGTATCAGGGAGCCCTTTGTTTAAAGGAGTTCCTCTTTTTTTAATTGCAGCAGATTGGGGGGTAGATTGTGATATGTAGTGCTTTGTTTTGGTTTTGAATTTTTTTCGTTTTGTTTTTTCACTTGTACCCTTTTTCTGAGGATGCCTCATCGTCCTATCTTTGGCTCTGTGCCTTAATAAAATTCTAAAAAAAAATTAAAAAAAATAAAAGAATTTTCATTCGTGGGCCTTTGTTAAGAGTGAACTTTATTACTTTGACACATTGCCATCACTTGAATTTGTAAAGAGATGTTTGTCAATATGTTGAGTGAATTATAGTTTTTATGTCATAATATTTGGTTACATCTCATTATTCAACTAGGTAAAGCTTTGGACTGCTGGAAACATATTTTTCAGAGAGATCTGTGTTCTCAAGCCCTTTGCATATACATAAGTCAACTTCACTTATTGGTTACAGTTAGAATGTAAAATGAAGGAATTTAGGGTTGGGATTTAGGAGGAAGAAGAAGAAGATTAAGAAGAAAGAGAAATTTTATATATATATTGGCGCTGTTTGGGAAGTTGGAGGATCCAACTGAGAACAGGAGGGGAGAGAATCGGCAACTCGGATTCACGATGGGAGAGAACCAGCAGAATCACAGGGTTCCAGAGTCAGCTACGAATGCCAATGCCAATGGGCATGCCATCACGAAGACAAATATGATGGATTTGAATATGCAGCCACATTAGATACATGAACAGGCTTCAAATAATCAGGTTTGATTGTCTCCGTTGTTTATCTATCAGAAACAGATTTTGAATTTTGTTTTAATATGAACTCTATTAACAGATCAGTGTCCCAGTGGAATGGTTACACTTTGCATTAGCATTTGAATGCACTTATTGTTCATATCAATTGGACCGCACTACTCCATTCAAATGTATAAATCATGGACAGGTTTAAAATGATATATCTGACAACTGAAAATATCAGAATAAGATTTCTAAATGGATCAATTTGTGTGTAAAACTAAACTAAGCCTGGTGTTCCAATCAAGTAGAGTCAGCTACATGAATCTTTTGTCACCGTCCTGCTCTGTCAAAGGCTATATCTTCAATTAAATTAATTAAATTTTTATCCTTTTTTTTCTACCACATCCCATGTCATAATAGGTTATTCCCTTCCCTTAACATTTCCATTTATGGTAATCATATTGCTCCTCTTTACCTTTGCATGTATAGGTATTTGTTGCATCTATGGTGTGTGTATAGATAAATAGTGGTGGTTAGACTGAGAATCTCAAGTGTATTTGAAATGGATTAAAAATATTTGAAAAGGAAAATTAAAAAAAATAAAAATTTGAAGTATATACAAGATATCAAGGACACTTGAAGCATATAATTTCTTGTTGTAAATGGGCTTAGCAAAAGGAGAGAGAAACAAAAGCAGCTAAAGATTTGAGGCAGAGAGTAATAGAACATGTAATCTTTCACTCATGTTCAATTATATATTTCAATTATATGCTGCAATGGTTCATCTACAAGACATTATTGTTTCTTGCAGAACATCCTTGTTGTCTCAAAGTATTACTGAAGGATTACCTTGGCGAGACTTGTTGAGCTGCTTTGTCTCATTGTTTAGGTATGCCAATACTTAATTGTGGTATAGTCATCGTCAAATGTTTGTAATGCAATCATATAATTTTTTTGCCATATGGTTACTTTTTTTTTATGAGAATACTTCATTTTGGATGTTTTTCTAGATTCTAACTTTTCTTATTTTATTTGTAGGTGACTTCAAAAAACAATCAAGCACAAGGCTGATGCTTCAAAACCATATATATTCCTTCATGTTTTAGAATTTTTTTTGGATTCCTTCATTGATTTTGCTTTTAATTTTTGTTCAATTACTTAATGGTTTTCAATGGATGGATGTTTAAAATTTGTCTCAATTAATGTTTTAAATGGAATGATTGTAAAGTTTGGGATTGAGCAGGAAAATATGATGAATTTTAATGTTATATTTAGGTTTGGTTGAATGAATTTTGTTCAATATTGGATTGAATGTTTATAAACAAAAATTGATTGTTCAAAAAAAAAAAAAAGAAGAGAGATTTTGCGACTAACTAATTAGTCGTTGATTGTTTAATGTCTTTTGGCGACTAAATAATTGGTTGCTAAATTTTACACTTTTGCGACTAAAATCATTGGTCGGCAATCCCTTATCTTTTGGCGACTAAATTATTAGTTGGTGATTCCTCAACTTTTAGCGACGAAAATAGTTAGTTGCCGATTTTTTACTTTTGGTGACAAACATATTTGGTCGGGAAAATATCACTTTTTACGACCAAAGTGTTTTAGCGGCTAAATGAATTAGTCGCGGTAATGATATATTTAACGATAAAAAATTTAGTCGGCAAATCTAACTTTTTCTCGACTAACAAAAGTTTTGGCTGCCAATTATTTTTGCCGACCCTCAATTGGCGACCAAAGTGGGGACCAAAAAAATTGGTTGCAAATGACTTTTGCCGACTAAAAATGGACTTTTGCTAACCAAATTTTTAGTCGGTAAAAGTGTAATTTCTTGAATATTAATATTGCCGACCAATCTTTTGGTTGTGGAATGTATTTGCCAACCAAATTTTTTGATCGCAGAATGTGACAATTGGCGACCAAATTAGTTGATTGTGGAAATGGCGACAATTGCCAACCAAACTATTTGGTCGTTGAATGTGCGAATTGGCGACTAACATGTTTGGTCGGGAAAATATGACTTTTCGCGACTAAAGTGTTTTAGCTACTAAATGGATAAGTCGCAGTAATTATATATTTAGCGACTAAAAATTCAATCGGCAAATATAACTTTTTCGTGACTAAAAATTTTTTTAGTCGCTAATTACTTTCCACGACCCTCAATTGGTGACCAAAGTGACGACCAAAAAAATTAGTCGTGGATAACTTTTACCGACTAAAAATGAATTTTTGCCGACCAAATTTTTAGTCGGCAAAAGTGCGAATTCTTGTAGTGATTCTTCTTCATTTGTACACCTCACTGGACGGGTCTCAATAGAATTATACACCTCACTGGACGGGTTTTGGTTTCAATTTTGAGAAATAATTTTTATATGGGTTTAGATTTGTTTGTACTGAATTTTTTTCACATTTTTGTCTTTATTTATTTATTTATTTAGATATTTCAAGATTAGATGCATACAAAAGTTTAAAAAAAATTAATTAAAATATAAAAAAAATTCACTAAAACAAATGAAAATCGAAACAAAAATGCACACATATTTTTGTTTGAATTTTTTTATTTATTATAGTATTCTTTTGTAATATTTAAGTCAATTTGTTTTTTTTTTTTTTACTTTTTAGATCCAGCTTAATTATTTATATCTAAAAATACAAAAAAAATAACTGAAATATGAAACAAATTTATTAAAAATAAACAAAAATTCATCTAGAAATAGTTTTTAAAAAAGCTAACCAAATATTTTCTTTATAATAATGATATATTCTTCTTTTGTTTTATTTCATTGTGATGTGATTGAAATTTAGTGAACTTTTGTTCTAATAAAAAGATATTCTTCCTCATTATTATTAACGAAATTCTATGATAACACTCCATTATATGCACCTTTAGTTATGAATTTTGTACAGTTAGTTATGATATATTATAATATTAGTTATGACTCATTGTGATGTTGATTATGTCATTATTTTGATTGTGATTTAATTTTTTTTTTTATTATAACTAATGTGACATTCAATTATAATTTTTTTTTTAATTATGACTTATGATATTTGTGAAAGATCCTAACTTACCTATAACATTACCATTATTATTATTATTGTATTTGTGAGTGGAAATAAATTTTAGATATTGTTGTCCGCTGAGTTTTTTAATTATAGTACTTAATTGACTCTTTGTTCCCATAATATGGAAAAAGATGCATGCACCCCAAAAAAACAAAAACAAAAACAAAACCAAAAAAATTTGCATTGAAATTGTTGATTTCTCACATTTATTTACATCTATGAATGTGCGAATAAATACAAATACGAGGAGTTGGTGATTTGATAATTGTAGCAGAGTTGCGGTTATATTTCTAGTGAAAGTCGTAGTGTGCAGATTATATGTATCGTATCTTTAATTTGTGTAATTTTATTATAAATTTTTATAATATTAATTGTAAAATGTATAATCTCATTACAAATTGAGATAACAAAAAATGTCGTAACTAAATCATAAATTTTTATAATGCCAATCACAAAATTTTAGACACCCATAAAATTTCAACATATTAATCACAAAATGCGTAACTCCACAAATTGACATAAAAAAAATGTCAGTCATAATATCAATTAAAAAATTTAGACAATTTGTTATGCTAATTTATGACAAGGTTATACATTTTGTGATTGATATCACAAAAATTCATGATAAAGTTATGCCAGTCATAAAATTTTAAACATTTTGTTATATTAATTTGTGACAAAATTATATATTTTATAATTGATGTTACAAAAATTTATGATAAAATTACACTAATTTAACACCAACTTATGATAAGATGTATATGATATATACCTTTGAAGGATGGACTTGATAGGCTTTCTCATATTTCTAATAATTGATTTATTTATTGATTATTATTTTTTGTGAAATAAGGTTATTATCAAGGCATTTTGGTAATTTGATTAATTTTCAAGAACTTTCTCTCTCTCTAAAAACCTCCACCCCCGGGCCTCACTTTTGGCCGGCCGACCGCCGCCGTTGGCTATGGCGGTCGGCTGGCCCAGCTCTCTTTCGTGTTTGTGTGCTGGTTTCTGCCTTTAATAAACTTGATTCCCACATTTTCTTTCCACTTTGGTGTTCTTTTTTGTTTCTTCAGGGGCTGCTCGTTTTGTTGTCTGTTTTTGTCTCAATCTTGGGGTTGCTTGTTTTGTTTCAACAGGGGGTGATTGTTTTAAGGGTCAAAACAAAGTAGATGGCGGTCGGTCTTGGACCGGTATAGAGGATGGCCAGACCTGGTTGGAGCTTCATTCGGGCGCTCTTTTGCGAGTGGGAGTTTGAGGGATGAGCTCGGTTTCGGATCTATGGAGTTGCTTCGGTGCTTTTGTTTGGAGGGAACGAGGGTGATGTAGTTGATCCAGATCTATCTAAGAGTTCATTCGAGCGCTTCTTCTCGAGTGGGAGTTTGAGGGGTGATCTTCATCTAGATAAATGGTGGTGTCTCGGCGCTTGTTCGATGTTGTGGTTTTGGTGGCGTGTGTCTTGGGTTTGGTAGGCAGCAGCATGGGTGAATAAATTAATCGGGTTGATTAGTATGTGTGGTTGTTGTTAAGAGGAGTAAGCTGCTTAGGTGTTGTACGGAGTTTTGATTCAGCCATCATCCCGGCCAGAAGGTAAATAGGTCTCAATCCCAGCAACACATCCAACCGTCCTAGTACCTACTTCGGCCCAAAGCCAAAATACAAAATATCTCCTTAGCCCATTATGCGGCCCAACTTCCAAAGAAGACTCATCCTAGTTCGGCCTAATTTGCTCACAAATTACCCTCTTAATATCGTATCTTAAATTTGTGTAATTTTATTGTCAAATTTTATAATATTAATTGTAAAATGTATAATCTCGTTACAAATTGAGATAACAAAAAATGCCGTAACTAAATCATAAATTTTTATATGTCCAATCACAAAATTTTAGACACCCATAAAATTTCATCATATTAATCACAAAATGCATAACTTCACAAATTGACATAAAACAAAATGTTGTAACTAGGCTATAAATTTTTATAACATCAATTACAAAATTTTAGACAATTTGTTATGCTAATTTATGACAAGGTTATACATTTTGTGATTGATATCACAAAAATTCATGATAAAGTTAGGCCAGTCATAAAATTTTAAACATTTTGTTATATTTATTTGTGACAAAATTATATATTTTATAATTGATGTTACCAAAATTTATGATAAAATTACACTAATTTAACACCAACTTATGATAAGATATATACGATATATACCTTTGAAGGATGGACCCGATAGGCTTTCTCATATTTCTAATAATTGATTTATTTATTGATTATTATTTTTTGTGAAATAAGGTTATTATCAAGGCCCCCCAGTGATGGCACCACCTCAGTATACTGCTCCACCACCACCACGGAGCCAACCTGGTTTCCTTGAACGATGGTATATCTATTTTCTTCTCTTTATTACATGATATATGGAGGAAAAATTTTGAGTGTGCATTGCACACCATATATAATCGTACACAAAATCTTTTATATTAAAATAAAAGTTAATATCGTACAGAATAATTATAAAAAAATATAAAAAATCAAACAAGAAACCTTACTGAAACTATAACTATAGCGATCCCGGGTTTACCCTTGTTGTACAGTGATCCGGACATGTGTCCGTGAATGTTGGTAGTTGTTTATTTTCTAGTTTGCATCCTCTTTACTTTGTATTTTGAGTTTTGGGATGTGTTGGGCAGGTTTGTTACAGGTTGGTTGTGCTTGGGAACGAGGGCGTTACAATAACAACAAACAACAAATTCCAAAAAAAAAAAAAAAAAAGAAGGTACAATATGAGAAATCATCAATCTTCTCATAAATATGATTTGAAAGAACAAGATATACATTTGAATATAGTTCAACCCCATCGTTCCCATTGTTATCGTCGTCCTTGTCACCGCTGCCTAACTTTGTCACTGCCTTCTTGTACATTGGTTATCACCGGAAGCCAAAGTTAAGAAGAACACCCACAATAGTAGGGAGGAGAATTGAAAGAAGGGAGGCCATTATGAGTATTAAAAATTCAAAAATCTATGTTAGAAATTGGGAAAGAAACTCTCAAACACCTCTTCCTAAGTATCAAAAATCCAAATTTACACTTTGAATGTGTTTTTATTTCTCGTTAGAAACTTGCTGAAAAATTGTCGGAGGGACACCGAAAATCAC